AGTAGTAGTAGTAGTAGTAGTAGTAGTAGTAGAGGAAGAAGAAATAGTAGTAGTAGTAGTAGTAGTAGTAGTAGTAGTAGTAGTAGTAGTAGTAGTAATAGTAGTTGTCGTTGTAGTAGTAGTAGTCGTCGCCCTCGTATTCGTAGTTTCGGTAGTGTTCGTGGTGGTAGTGTCCTCAGTCGCCTTAGCAGCATTCGTATTCGCACGACTAGTAGTAGTAGTTGTTGTTGTAGTCGCAGTAGCAGTAGCAGTAGCAGTAGCACTAGCAATAGCAGTAGTAGTAGTAGTAGTAGCAGTAGTAGTACACGTAGTAGTAGTAGTAGTAGCAGCAGCAGCAGCAGTAGCAGTAGTAGTAGTAGTAGTAGAAGTAGTAATGGTAGCAATAGTAGCAGTAGTAGGAGTAGCAGTAGTAGGGGTAGGAGTAGAAGTAGGAGTAGGAGTAGTAGTAGTAGTAGTAGTAGTAGTAGTAGTAGTAGTAGTAGTAGTAGTAGTAGTGGCGGTAGTAGTAGTAGCCGTAGTAATGGTAGTAGTAGTAACAGTAGTAGTAGTAGTAGTAGTAGTAGTAGTAGTAGCAGTAGTAGTAGTAGTAGTAGTAGAATCGCTGTGGTAGCCGGTTGCATTTAGTAAGCGTACGAGTAGCTATCCCATGCGTAGTCTTAGACGTATTCTTGGTGTGCCCCGTATGAGTATTAGTAGTGGTAGTCGACGTCCTCGGCCTTGTCTTCTGATTTCTCGTATTCGTATGATGTATTCGTCGCAGTAGTAGTCGCAATAGGATTCGCGTTCGTCGCCTGATTCGCTTCTTCGTCACATTCGGCTTAGTAGTATTGCTAGCACCAGCATTGGTAGTATGATCAGTCGTAGTAGTAGTAGTAGTAGTAGTAGTAGTAGTAGTAGTAGTAGTAGTAGTAGTAGTAGTAGGCATAGCAGCAGCAGCAGCAGCAGCAGCAGCAGCAGCAGCAGCAGCAGCAGTAGTAGTAGTAGTAGTAGTATTAGTAGTAGTAGTAGTAGTAGTAGTAGTAGTAGTAGTAGTAGTAGTAGTAGTAGTAGTAGTAGTAGTAGTAGTAGTAGTAGTTAGTAGTAGTAGCCAGTAGCCGTCTAGTAGTAGTAGTAGTCGTTGTCGTCGTCGTCGCAGCAGCAAGTAGTGGTAGGATTGGCAGCCGCCGTATTATGTGTATGCCTCGCCTTCGTACTGTGATTATGCCTCGCCTCCTCCTCCTCCTGCTCCTCCTCCTCCGCAGCCATTTTGGCTCAAGATGATTGGTGCCCCTGGGGGCCACACGGATACCGCTAGTCCGCGGCCAGACCACCGTTCGCCTTCACCGTGGGAGTTGGGCACCCACTTCAAGTTCCGCAGCCCTGCTTGCGCCGCCACGGCGACCCGCTTTCTTCGGGGCCTGCGGGGCCAGAATGCAGGATGGCGCCGCAGCACTACCGCTCGGAGAAGTGCAAGCGCCAATGGTTCTGCAGGAGCTGCGTCGGGCCCAAGGGCCCCCCGTGGTTCAACTACGCAGATGCGACGTCCTGCACCATGTGCAAGCTGGGCAAGGGGCTCTGCTTCAAAAAGTACCGCGCCCCCCCCCCCCCCCCCCCGTCGCCATCGCTTCGCAGGCCTGGGAGGTCGTTCTCGGCATGGGCAGACTCTGCGCAGGTGCAGAAGCTCAAGCAGGAGTTGGCTTCAACCCAGGCGAAGCTCAAGCGTCTCGACGGCCATGGCCCCGCCTCGGAGGAGACGGAATTACCCAGCGGCAGCAGGCGGGACAAGCAGCGGCTGCAGGTTCTGGCCGATTTGCTCAAGACCGTCAGCGGCAGCGAGGACGTCCATCTCGCGCGGCCCAAGGAGCCCTACACCAAGGAGCAGGGCGAGCACAAGGCCAAGTTGGCAGCCGCGCGCCCGCTGGGCCAAAGGCTGCGAGACCTTGGGGCTCAGATCTCCAAGCACCAGAAGCTGCAGGATGACCAGAAGCGGCGGCTCGCTGGCATCCACGAGAAGCTCGCGGCGTTGCAGGAGCAGGAGAAGGCGGCGCAAGCCCAGTGCACGGCCCCGGCCCTGCAAATGGAGGAGTTGCAGGAGCACCAGCGGCAGCTGCAGAGCGAGGCCCCTCTGCCCCCGTCTTTCGAGCCTGGGAAGGGACTTGTCGACGAGCCGATCAAGGGGCTGGGCCAGACTCTGCCAGGCCTCGGCGAGGTTTTGGGCGCCCTCGGCGCCGAGCACAGCTTGGCGGAGAGGCTCAAGGAGGACCTCGAACGGCTCATGCAGGTGGCGGAGGAGGCGCGCGCCAAGCAGCCGGAGGAGCGAGAGGCCAACGCCGCAGCCGAGGCGGGGCGGCAGCGGGCCGAAGGCGCGGCCGAGGTGCCCGCACCCATGGACCAGGATGACGAAGCCGCCCTCAGCGAAGAGCTCATCGAGGAGATGGCCAACGCTGGCGGCGACAAGAGGAAGATCGAAGAGATTCTGGCCAAGCATTGGTGCAAGCGGCGCAAGGCTGCCGCGGAGTAGCCCCGTTCTGCTCCTGAGGCTGCTTTGTGTCTTGTGTTCTCTCGCCTGCACGATGGCGAAGCCCACTGGCATTACCGCACTCAACGTCTCGGCAAGTGGCCCGCTCGTCGACTACCTGGCCTCGTGCTCCAGCATGTGCGTCGCCGTGCAGGAGCGCCACGCGCTGCCCGCGGGCATGGCCAAGGCCCAGCAGGACGCCCTGGCCGAGGGCTTCCACGGGGTCTGGGCGGCTGCGCTCCCAGGGCTGGGCACTGGCAGCAAAGGCGGGGTCGCCGTGCTAGTGCCTCGGCGAGTGCTCATCACGGCGCCCCCTGCACTGGAAGGGCCAACGCTAGAGCCAGGGAGGATGGTTGCCGCCCACGTCACTTGCGGCGGCAAGCGAGGTTCCGTTATGGTCTACGTTTAGTTGCGAGTTGACGAGCAGATGTCGCATAAGAACCTGGCCATTCCCTTCAGGCTTTATCAGTATCCCAAAGTGCTCGACTCGATGCAGATGCCGCGGGTCGCGGGCGGAGGCTTCAACATGGAGCTGAAGCAGCTGGGCACCTTAGCGTGGCCGCACTCCGTCAACGGCGTCGCCGTGGTGCCCTCGGCGCCCACCTGCCTGCAGGCACTCCCTGGCCGCACTATTAATTTCTTCTTCGCGGCAGCCCAGCTGGTTCTCAGTTTGAGCACCGCGGCTGTGGAGGAGGCAAACACCTGGCCGCACCTGCCCGTCACGATGCAGCTCAGGGCGTCGGCCCAGGCCATGTGGACACGGCAACTCGTGAAGGCCAAGGGTTGCACCAAGGAGCCCAAGGTCGGGCGCGCCAGGCCTCCGCCCGATTGGGGCCCTTTCTTCGAGCAGGTGGCGCAGGCCCAGTCCGCGGAGGACTTGGCAGAGGTTTGGGACCAGTTGCTGCTGGGTGTGGGGTTCGAGCAGCAGGGGAGGCACGACGTCGTCGGACCCCAGGCCGCCAAGTTTCTATCGCAGCCGACGGCGCCGTCCTTCAAGTGGGCCAAGTTCGAGCCCGACGAGCGGCAGTCCTGGAAGCGGAAGGCCCCTGACGTGGCAGCGTGGCTCACCGCCGCAAGATGGGCTCGGCATTTTCGGCGTGTTCGAAAGGCGCTGGTGCCCTTAATTTCGGAGCTGTCCGCACCGCCTGCGTTCGTCTTGCAGGAGCGCGGTGCGGGTGGACAGGCAGACGCACCGCCCAGCGCGAGGCCGCCTCCCGAGGAGCCGCGCACGAGAGGCAGGCCCGCCAGGACCGCGACCGTCTCGGAGGAGGCCGCGGGGAAGCTGGGGCCCCAGGTTTGCTGCGAAGCTGGGCCCCAGCGAGGTGGGCTGGAGACTCGTGCGGGGCGACCCCGCGGGGGCGGGTCGAGCGCTGGCAGCTGGCCAGCGCCGCCTCCGCCGCGCACCCCGACATCGCATTGCAGCGAGCTGTGCGTCAAGACAGCCAGGCACATCCTCGAGTTCCTGAACTTCCTCAAGCGGATGGCAGCCAGGCAGGACACACGGCAGCACCTGGACAGCGATGCGATCGCCTTCTTCCGTCAGGGGCTCGAGGCGTTCAAGATGGAGTTGGACCCTGGCCAAGTCGGAAGCCATGATGTGGTCCCACGAGAGGCGGGTTACGTCCAGGTGGCAGTCGTGGGCTGCGGCATCCTTCGATGGAGGGGCCAGCCGCGCCCACAGGTTCTCGAAGCCGCAGGCGCTCCAGGAGGTGATCGACTTCGGCGCGGGGGTCCAGCGCGCCTACCAGCTGGCCGATCGCAAGCTGTCCCACTGGAGCGAGTTCTGGCGGATGCACAAGGATGGCCCAATCCAGCTGCCGAGCGACGCCGCCAACTGGGACCAGCTGCCGCCGCTGAGCGGCGCCGACGTCCGTCGAGCGATCCGCGCGTTCAGCTGGCGCTCATGCACGGGGCAGATCAACATCGCGCCGCGGGCCCTCGATTTCCTGTCAGACGCTGCCCTCGAGGCGATGGCCCAGGTGTTCTCCCGTTGCGAGCAGCTGCTGGTTTGGCCACAGTAGCGCTTCATCACAAAGCCCGTTCGCCTTCCCAAGCCTGGGGGAGGAGAGCGCACACTGGTGAGGGTTTGGGACGGGCACGGCGCCCAGTCTCGGCGCAGTGGGAGATTGCCAACGCGTCCGAGGAATTCTGGGGGCACATCGGAGGCCGCTCCTCGACGGACGCAGCGGTCGACCTGGCGCTTGAGAAGGAGACCGCCTAGCTGACGGACCAACACGCGGTGATAGTGCTCCTGGACATGCTCAAGTGCCACGAGCTGGTTCGGCACCAGGCGATCCTCGATGAGTGCAGGGCCAACGGATATCCCATGAGGCTGGCTTACATGCTGGTGACGCTGTACGAGCAGGCGCGCACCATCTACGCGTACAACTCTTTCTCCGAGGATAGGGCCATTTGCCAAGGCATCCTGGCGGGTTGCACTCATGCGACCACGCTGCTGATGGTGCTGCTCACGCGCAACATCAAGTTGACCAAGACCGTCGCTCGCGAGGTTCGGCCTCGTGACCTGGTTGACGATGTTGCGATTTCCTGGACTGGAGCTGACGCGCGGGGGTCACGAGCTATATGGCTACGGCTACAAACGCCTTCTGCGAGGAGGTCAGGCCACTAGGACTGGTGCTGCAGCTGAACAAGTTAGGGCACCTTGCGGTCACACGCCAGACGAAGTACTACTTCAAGGCGTACGCCAGGGTGCTGAGGATTGAGGGCAAGCGCCACATGCGGCACCTGGGTCACGACACGTCGGCCAACGGCGCGGCGCGAGGAGTTCAGAAGGACAGGCTCAAAAGGATGCATGCCAGAAGGCTTCGCTTGTCAGCGTTGCAGAAGGGAGCTGGCCGCGGGCGCGCCGCGCGGCTCTGGACCACAGGAGCGATGCCCTCAGTGGGACACGGGGCCGCGGTCAGCGGCATCAATGACGGGGAGCTGAAGCAGCTGCGAAGCATGGCTGGAAGTTTCTGTGGTTTCAGTGGCTCAGGCTCCCTCACCCTGTATTTGGCGATGCAGAAGCAGCGCAACTTCGACCCTACAGTCCACGCGACCTGCAGCATCCTGATGCAGTATGCGTCGTGGGTCTGGGCGGCAAGAAGATCGACCGCCCTGCTGCAGAAGGCGTGGATGGCGCTGAAAGCGAAGTTCGAAGGCACCAGTTCCTCAGCCACGTGGGCCAGTGCCCGCGGCCCGCTTTCGGCGCTGTGGCTCACGCTGAGGAGAGTTGGCTGGGGCATGATCAGCGCGACGGCGCTTGTCGACGACCTCGGAGCGGGCATCGACCTTCTCAGGCTCAGGGCGTGCCCAAGCGAGGTCAAGCACTACTTATACTTGAGCCTCGAGCGCTGGCAGAGCCATCGCATCCCGGACCGCCTGCCTGGAGCCCCGCGTCGTGACGCCGAAGGACATAGACAGCACATCTGGATCAGGGCCCTACGGCATGGGCATCTGCAGAAGACGTCCAACGGCTTGCGCGGGGCTTTGGCCAAGCTGCAGTCGCACGGAACGTGGACCCCAGCTCGGAGGCAGGAGGCAGGATACACAGACGACGCGGTATGTGAGTTCTGCGGGCGCGCCCCAGCGGACCTGGAGCACGAGCTTTTCTACTGCTCAGCGCACGAGGCGCAGGAGTATGAGGAGCACAGCCCGCGCCCCGACGACGTCCTGCAGGTGAGAAAGGGCATCTGGCAGCAGGGCCAGACGGGCGTGGGCCTGGAATGGGATTTCTCGTCGGTCGACCTGCTCTACGCCCTGCCCATGAAGCCGTTGTTTCGGCCGCCTGAGCCCCGCCTTTTGCCTGTAAAAGAGCGGGGCGCCCGTGCGGCACCATGGCCTTCCAAGTTGCACGGAGACGGGTCGTGATTTGACAGTGATTCCCCCGAGGCCCGTCGGTGTGGATGGGCCGGCGTGGCCATCACTCCGAATTTCGTGCCGTAAAAAGCTGTGTTCGGAGGCCTTGGAGGCCCCATCCAAACGGTTCCCAGGGCCGAGCGTTTTGCTGCGCTCCGAGGCCTCGAATTGGCGACCAGGCCGTCTGAATTCGTCACCGATCACCCGGCGCTGGCGCAAGAGGGGGCCCACTGGTTTGGCAGGCATGCTCGGCCTACGGCCCCCCACGCGAGTGTTTGGCGTCAGTTGCACCAGCGGCGTGAATCTGATTTGGAGCGCCTCCCCCGCTTTTTTCCTGGACCCGTGCTCACAGGTCCGTGGAAGAAGGCAACGCGTCGTGCTTGTCCTCGGGGGAGCCCCTGGAGAATCTTGTCGGAAACATGTGGGCTGATCTTTTCGCGAAGATGGCCGCGCTTGATGCGGCGGGGTCGCCATCAGTGATCCGTGGTTTTAAGTTTGAGCTGGAACAGGCGAAGCAGCGGATGCAATGTCTGGCCTTCGCGGCCGAGCGGGTGGCGAAACTTGCGCCCCACATCGTCCATCGACCGCTGCCGCCTGTTCCTCGAAGGCGCCGAGGGCGCCAGGCGACCACCCACGCTTTCTGCATTTTTCCCTGAGGGCGCGGTCGGCTGTCGGCAGTGCTGGCGTCAAGCCACGACCCAATCGTCTCTCAAATCCCTCGCGTCCCGCGCGTGCGACCCCCAGCTGTTCGGCCCAGGGCATATGGTCCAGGAGCTTGACCGCGTGCTGATATGTGCCAACTGTGGCGCGCATGCAGTGCGGCCCAACCGTCTCTCGATCGGCCTCACGCGTGCCTGTCAGCCTCGTCGAGAGAGGGGCGGCGGTGGAGCTGGGGCGGGTGGGGCGACGGGGGAGAGGGCTCAGAGAATGCTGCAGCAGGCCCAGCGAGGGCGCCACCCCAAGACGGGAGAGGCGCTTGGCCCGCTGATCATGGCCCCGATTGCCCACGAGGCCGCCGCACAGTCTCTTCAGCTCGTGGGGGCGGAGGCGGCGGACGGGGCGGTCGGGGTCGATCGCGGAGTCGAGGAGGAAGAGGGTCGGGGACCAGTGCCGCGAGCCAGTACAGCGGCGCCGAGCAGGCCAGC